TTTTAAACATCGAAAAAGGGGAGCAAGATAACAGAGAAGTCCTTTCTCTCCTGCAGCTACGGAGGGAGGGATAGAATCAGTTTTGATAAAGTGGCAGACAGAACATTCTTGAACATCCATCTTGTTCTCCTTTGCAGCCAGGAGGCTCCAGTGAATTTTCCTTTCACCAACCTGGTCTGTTCTCTGTTCATTTCTGTCCTTGAAAGGATAATTTGAACAAAAGAATCAGATTCTCTTAGAAATTGTTGAAATATCTGAAGAAAAAGAACTTCCCGAAGAAGTCTGCGTTCTGATTGGCTGTCGTCCTTGATTATTTGTCGCCATGGTGATGAGGGGGTAAATAGCATCTCTGTATTGTTTTTCTTTTTTCTTTTTCTTGTTTTGTTTTTTGAAAACACTATGCTTTTTTTTTTTTCTTTTGGTGGCTGACTGGTAAGAGGATCTGAACCCTTGACCTTGGTATGACAAGGCTGTACTCTAATCGACTGAGCCAACGGCTAGCCATTTCTGTATTTTTTAATGAATTATACTCGTAGGTTTTCTCTTGTAGGTCAAATCAGAAAAGGATCATTTCTTTCCTTCCATGAACATGAAGTAAAATCCTAAGGCTCTTCTAGATTTATTTTTCAACAAAGAAATTGAGAGTCTCCTCTTATCTAAGTTAACAAAAGCACTTAGCAGAGGGTCCAGCCAGTTTAAATAGTGGTGGCTGCTCTCCTGAGGGCAATTGCTGTATTAATATTAAATCCAGCACACCACCTTGTGGGCAATAGAGAACCGCACAACCCTATCCACTGTCACTAGTAGGCGACTCCCCTCCCTTCTGGTAACCCAGTTCTCCGGACTCCGTTATGGCAGCTCTAGCAAAGTAACACAAGACTTGTTCTTGGAGGTCTTAGACTGACTGAGCCAGAACCCCTGGCTACTTTGACCATCAGAATATGACAGAAGTGACACTTTGCCAGTCTTGGACCTAGCTTTTAAGAGGACCATTTAAGCTGCTTTTAGGTGCAGCTTCCATCTCGATCTCTTGGGGTCCTGAGCCACCGTGTAAGAGCTGCAACTCCCCTAAGAGCATGGTGCTGTGGAAAAGCCAAGGAAAACTGACTCTTCCAGACATGTGAGTGAAGAAGCCGCCCTGGAAGTGGATCCTCCAGCAGACCCTGCCTCCAGCTCCCCGTCTCAGCTGATGCCAAATGGAGGAGAGCTGACAGCTGAAGCCCTGGTACTGCCTTGGCCTTGAAGACAAAAGGTAACTTTTAGGAAGAGGGAGTCACTCTTTGAATGGTACTTACGGATCCTGGGTCTGAATCTGCTTTCTCCTTCCCCGCCCCGCCCCACCTCCACAAGAGTTGCCAAAGACCTTCACATAAATCTAGGGGGGCTTCTTGGTGCAGCACGGACCAGTGGTCAAGAGTTCAGCCTTTGAGTTCCACAGACCTATGTTCAAACCCCAGTTTTGCTACTGTAACCTCAGTGTCCTTCTCTGTAAAAAAGGCATTTCAAAATAATGCCTACTCCTCAGAGTTACCGTGACAATTTGATGATATTTTGTCTAAAGCATGTAATCGTGCACTGCCTGGCTCTAAGAGCGCAAACTCTAAAGGGACAGGAATCCTTGACAGTTTCACCTGCTGCTATATCCCTAGTGCTTAAAACAGCTCCTGATGGGATTTTCAATAAATAATTACTGAATGAATAAATCACAAGCCGTCGGTAAGTGTTAAATATGTTGATCAGGGCATTCTCTGTTGTAAGTAAGTGACAGAAACCCAAATCAAACCATCTGAAGCGGATTGGAGGATTCACTGGATATGTTATTGTAAGAGAATATGGTGGCTTAAAGAAGAAAAAAAAAGTTGATTTCTCTTTCCCATAGCAGTTCCAGGGCAAATGGTCCTGGGCAGCTGTGATTGCTGCTCAGAGTATAATCCAGGGACCAGCAGCATCACCTGGAAGCTCATAGGAAATGCACATCCCTAGGTCCCACCCCAGACCTACTAAGTCAGAAGCTCTGGGGGTAGGAACCAGCAAACTGCTCTAACAAGCCCTCCAGGGAATCCTGATGCACACTTTGAGACCCACCGCCCTAGCTCACTGTCATCATCTACACAATTGAAGCTGCCACCTCCAGGCAACTTGGAAGGGAGAAAAGAGAAAGTCCGGAGCAAGAGATTTCCTTGTAAGCAGGTAAAGTGGAAGTTACACAGATCACATCCACTTGCATGCCACTGGAGAAGACACAGTCACATGGCCACAGTCAGCCACAAGGGGGCTGGGAACTGCAGTCCCCAACCAGGCAGCTGTGTGCCTGGGGAAGGGAAGATAGGCTTTTGGTGGACCAAAGCTCCAGGCAGCAGCAGCAGTCCTTCTCAATGTCTTAAGCTCTTCGTGGTTACCTGAAAGCAGAAATAAATGGTTTCTAGGTGCCAGTAGTTCTCATCAACAGCCCCCTAATTCCATGCTGAAAAGGTCCTTAAAGGCCTTGTTACCCAGCACCTCATTAGCCACTTGGGAGCAAGAGGCCAGAGCTGGCTGAAGGCAGGAAACAGAGGGCTTGTGCTATGGACTGAATTGTGTTCCCCATCCCCAAATTCATGTGTTGAAGCCCTAACCCCCCAAAGTGACTGTATCTGAAGACAGGGTCTTTAGGAGGTAATTAAGGTTAAATGAGATCATAGGGTGAGGCCCTCCTCTGATTTGAATATTTGTCCCCTCCAATGCTCATGTCGAGGTCTAATCCGCAAAATGGCAGTGTTGAGAGGTGGGGCCTTTAGGAGGTGACTGGATCTTGAGGGCTCTGCCCTCATGGGTGGATTCATCCATTCATGGATTAATGGGTTAATGAATTAATATGTTATCATGGGAGTGGAACTGGAGCCTTCATAAGAAGAGGAAGAGGGACCTAAACACATTTGCGTGCTCTTAGCCTCTCACCATGTGATTCCAGGCACCGACTCAGAACTCTGCAGAAAGCCCCCACCAGTAAAAAGGCCCTCACCGGATGTGGTCCCTCAACCTTGGGCATTCCAGCCTCCAGAGCTGTAAGAAATAAATTTTGTTTCTTTATAAATCACTCATTTCAGGTATTCTGTCATAAGTGACAGAAAACTGACTAACACAGGCCCTAATCAGATAGGACTGTGACCTTATAAAAGGAGGAAGATCTCTCTCTATCTCTATCTATCTATCTATCTATCTATCTGTCTGTCTCTCTCTCTCTCTCTCTCTCTCTCCCCCCCAATGTGAGGACCCAGTGAGAAGGGGACCACCTGCAAGCAAGGAAGAGAGCCCTCCTCAGAGCCCAACCATGCTAGCACCTTAATCTCAAATTTCCAGCCAACTGTGAGAAAATAGCTTCCTATTGTTTAAGCCACCCAGCCTGTAGTATTTTGTTATGGCAATCAGAGCTGACTAAGACAGCCTAGAAGGGAGATGTTCTTAGAAAAGGCCTTTAAGAGGGTGTGAGGGGTGCACCTGAGGTCCTTCAATAGTCCTCAACCTCAGTCTTCTCTGGGTCCTTATGGCTGAGGAAGAAGGCCCTCCTCACAAAGCAGCACCACTGGGTGTGTCTGTGAAAGACATGGTGGGACCCACAGAAGCTCATGCCTGGGCTGTTGGAGTCAAGGGCCTCCATGCCACAGACTCACCATCTGTGGATTCTTATGACCAGAACCAAATCTGGGAATGGGAAACACCAGCAGTATGTGACCCAAGGAGCAAGTATCTTGTCTGGATAGTCATGAGTCCCTTATGATTGCAGTCCCAGTTCTTCTTCCTTGGCTCAAATCCACACTTATTACTGTGGTCTATAAAGCTCTGTGTATCTAGCTCCTGCGTGGCAATCTGACGTGTGGCAGAAACTGCTTTCTGCTCATTAAAACCCATTCTCCCATTTCTCCCTTTGGTAATAAGATAATTGTTCCAGTTTGAAATAACAGTGCCACCCTCCCTGATAGCTAGATAAGGTCATGCACCTAAGTTCAGGCCCTCATGAGCTCAGATGATGTGTGCAACCTCTGATCAGCTCCTTATAAAAGAAGATTCTGGCCCTTGAGTTCTTCTTTCTTCTTTTGGCTAAGAAATGATTACAACAAGAGCATATCTAAAGATAGAAGCCATCTGTTGAAGATAACAAAGCCAGTTCACCAGGCTGAATGACCTCATGAAGCAAAGGTACCTACCTGCCCCAAACCAGACACCTACCTACCTTTAGACAGAGACAGAAAAAATTTTATCTTACTTAAGTCACAGTA